ATATGGTTCATCCAAGTGAAGGTGAAAAATATTATCTTCGACTGTTACTTACAAAAGTAAAAGCAGCTACAAGCTTTGAAAACTTAAAAACTGTTAATGGAATAACTTACACCACATTTAAGAAAAGTGCATGATACCAAGGTTTCTTAGAGAATGATGAAGAGCAAAGACTTTGTATGAAGGAAACAAGAGTATTCCAAATGTCTATACAATTACGAGAATTATTTAGTACACTGTTAATATATGATGAAATTACAGATATAAGGAACTTATGGAATGAAAATTTCGAAAGTATGGCAGAAAATTTTACCTATAAAGGAATTCCGGATGGTGAGCTAAAAATTCAAGCAGTTCTCAAAAGCATAAACATATTTCTTCAAAGACATGGAAAAAGCGTAACTGATTATGATCTTCCTTAATTTTTACCAGAAACAGATATTGGGTTAGCTCCTAAAATAATTTTAGACAAACTATCATATCAGATTACCTCTCAAGATCTTTCAAAAGCTAACTCTCTAAATGATAACCAACGAATTATATATGATGAAATTCTAAAACGAATTTCTGAGAAACAAGGAGATGTTTTCTTTATTGATGGTCCTGGTGGCACTGGCAAAACATATCTTTATCAATGTCTTCTAGCCCAAGTTCGGGCTAACAATCAAATTGCATTACCAGTTGCCTCTTCGGGAATTGCCGCATTGCTATTACAAGGTGGATGCACTGCCCACTCTAGATTCAAAATTCCAATCATAATGATAGGTAAAGAAGCCACATGCAATATAAAAAGTCATTCAGATTTAGCACAATTACTTAGAATGACTGTTCTAATAATTTGGGATGAGGTTCCAATAACTCATCGATATGCTCCTGAAGCTCTAAATAGAACACTTCGAGATATAGAAGAAAAAGATCTTCCCTTTGGAGAAAAAATTGTTTTATTCGGAGGTGATTTTAGACAACTTCTTCCAGTAATTCAAAAAGGTACAAAAGCTTAAATCATAAATGCAGCTCTAAATAAATCTTTGTTATGGAAGCATATTACAGTATTCTCCTTAAAAACAAATATTCGAGTTTTATAAACCCATTCTCAAGAGACTTTAGCTTTCGCAGAATATCTTTTTAAAATAGGTAATGGAATAGAATCTTCTAATGGAGATGACTTGATACAAATTCCTGATAATATGCTAATTCATCCATAAGGAGAAGATCCAATCGATTGTCTTATTAATACTATCTATCTGGATATTATATTGAATGCTACAAATACTTCTTTTATTACTACAAGAGCAATCTTAACATCTCTTACTGCTGATGTTGATATTATAAATGCCAAAGTAATGTCTAAATATCCTGGTGAAAATTATATCTATTATAGTTTCGACTCAGTACCAGATGATCATACCAACTTATATCCAATCGAATATCTTAATTCAATTACGCCTCAAGGTCTCCCTCCTCACAAATTATCACTTAAAATTGGTGCACCTATTATGTTACAAAGGAATTTAGATCCAGTTAATGGCTTATACAATGGAACACGATTAATTTGTCATGGATTTCAACCAAGAACAATATATGCTGAAATTGCAACAGGTGAACATTGTGGCAAACAAGTATTCATTCCCAGAATTCCTTTGATTTTATCTGAAGAAGCAGGTTTACCATTTATAATGAAAAGAAAACAGTTTCCATTAAGACCAGCTTTTGCATTTACGATAAATAAATCACAAGGTCAAACCTTACTTTATGCTGGACTTTATTTACCACAGCCATTATTTTCTCATGGGCAATTGTACATTGCTATGTCTAGAGTACGAGAAAAAAATTTTGATAATCCATAGTAATGTAAAAGGAAAAGAAGGAAACTATACAAAAAATATAGTATTTCATGAAGCATTATTACTTTAAATTGTTTAAATAAAGAAATGACAAATCATTATTATATACATAAATATATTAATGTAACACAAAATAATTTAATTGCAAATCAATTATATAATAGTATACTTTATTAAACCAATTATATAAACTGACTAATAATTCAAAATGGAGGTAACGATGTGCTTTAAGCTAGTAATCTACTAATATTCAAGATCTGTGGGTCCATAGTGTAGTGATTAACACTCCACAGGTTAGATCACAAGATACTAGTTCAATTCCAGGTGAAGGCAGTTGAACCGAATTAAAAATGATATCTGGAGTCATAACCTGTTAAGTCCTGTTTCTCATGAGAAGTCATTTGTACACTGATCCAGTGGAACATTGGGATTGTGATCTTCAAGAAAGGTGTGTGGCAGGATGATCATCTGGAAGTGGTTTGATGATCATCTGACAGTAGCCTGAACCAACCATACATTTGGATGTACAGACTGGGCTGTGTTCCATCTTAACCAACCCAAGCGATATTTCCATTCAGCCAGCTTCTGAATAAGGCAACTTTGAAGGAGCACGCTCTCCTGGCATTGATGTACTGTGTGACATGGACCCCTAATGGCTTATCGCGTCTGTAGGAATTGTGCCTTGCTTGACATTTGTGCCTTTAGATTTGGCAGCCAACACCAACCGGCCCCTTTGGATATGTTTACTAGAAGTCAGGAACCTTGGGAGCATAATGGTCACACCAGTCTGGCCTGTATGGTCCTTGCAGATTTTCACCCCAATTGGTCAAAAAGGACCTTCTAGTTTGGTAGCTGATAGTTAACCAGAGAACAAAAAAATTTCAGAGCATTCACTAGGGAGTGCAGACCAACGTGAAGACCCTCTGTTATGATAACTGAGTGTCAGAAAAGTGTGGTACAATAAGTTACTTATAAGGATAGATAGCAGTACCCCTATTGTTCCTGCACAAAAATTGGATCTTCTCCTTGTGGATGAATTAGCATATCATCGGGAATTCGTATCAAGTCATCTCCATTAGAAGATTCTATTCCATTACCTATTTTAAGAAGATATTTTACAAAAGCTAAAGCCTCTTGAGAATGGGTTTGTGAAACTCGAATATTTGTTTTTAAGGAGAATACTGTAATATGCTTCCATAACAAAGATTTATTTAGAGCCGCATTTATAATTTGAGCTTTTGTACCTTTTTGAATTACTGGAAGAAGTTGTCTAAAATCACCTCTGAATAAAACAATTTTTCCTCCAAAGGGAAGATCTTTTTCTTCTATATCTTGAAGTGTTCTATCTAGAGCTTCAGGAGCATATCGATGAGTCATTGGAACCTCATCCCAAATTATTAGAACAGTCATTCTAAGTAATTGTGCTAAATTTGAATGACTTTTTATATTGTATGTGGCTTCTTTATCTATCATTACAATTGGAATTTTGAACCTAGAGTGGGCAGTGCATCCACCTTGTAATAGCAATGTGGCAATTTCCGAAGAGGCAACTGGTAATGCAATTTGATTGTTAGTCCGAACTTGGGCTGATAAAGATATGTTTTGCCAGTGCCACCAGAACCATCAACAAAGAAAACACCTTGTTTCTCAGAAATTCATTTTAGAATTTCATCATATATAATTCATTAGTTATCATTTAGAGAGTTAGCTTTTGAAAGATCTTGAGAGTTAGTATGATATGATAGTTCGTCTAAAATTATTTTAGGAGCTAACCCAATATCTGTTTCTGGTAAAAATTCAGAAAGATCATAATCATTTACACTTTTTCCATATCTTTGAAGAAATATGTTCATGCTTTTGAGAACTGCTTGAATTTTCAGCTCACCATCCGGAATTCCTTTATAGGTAAAATCTTCTGCCATACTTTCGAAATTTTCATTCTATAAGTTCCTTATATCTATAATTTCATCATATATTAACAGTGTACTAAATAATTCTCGTAAATGTATAGACATTTGGAATACTCTTGCTTTCTTCATACAAAGTCTTTGCTCTTCATCATTCTCTAAGAAACCTCGGTGTCATGCACTTTCCTTAAATGTGATGTAAGTTATTCCATTAACAGTTTTTAAGTCTTTAAAGCTTGTAGCTGCTTTTACTTTTGTAAGTAACAGTCGAAGATAATATTTTTCACCTTCACTTGGATGAACCATAT